GAAGAGAAAAACAAAATGGATGAAACAATGCAATCAAAGAAACCAAAAAGAAAGAGAACCAGAGTGGATTGTCACTATACTTAAAAACAATCATATACAAGCAACCAAAAAGATACATCATATGCCATGTACTCATCCCTACATATTATATTCCAAAGATCGGTCTGTATCTTTGCAGTCCAAAGCCAAATCAATTGCGAGGAAGATTTGTAAAAGTTTAAAAAGAAATAAAAAGAAAGAGGATTTTGAGCATACAACCAAAAGATGCTGGCTATATATATATATTTTCCATATAAAACCAAAGGGTCGTACCTTACTACTCAGAAGAAACAAGGGTCCTTGAACTAATCTTAGACTCCCTGTGTTGCAAGGAATACATAGCAAATCCATCTCCTTGGAAAGATAAAATCATTCCACACTCGAGGCAAACAAACCATAGGACAAAAACAAACGACAGTAACACAAGAATATGATTTAGATTTTTCTTCTCATTGACAAGTAGCAAGCCCCAGCAGAAAACCTCTTACTAATCCTCCTCTCACAGTCTTTTTATTATCTCGTTTCAACATTAGACATAAGCAAGAGCAACTACCTTCTAATTACTTCAATTTATAATCTCTATACTACATTTATAATCTCAGTTTATTTAAATGGAGCAAAATAAATCCAGAAAAATCAGTAATTGATCTTACCTTCGGAACTCCTCACCAAAGAGACATCAAACACATGTAAGACTGCAGCAGAAACCAACAGACATATTAAGAAACAAAAATAAAATCTAAAAATCGTAGCAATTTGCTTTCTTTCACAAAGAAGATAATGATATAATCTAGGAAATTGACATATAATTCCCTTGCATCAAAACTTACAAATCATTCACCAGAAATAAATTTGAAGACATAAAAAGAGGAAAAGAAAGTTAGAGAGAGAGAAAGAAACAGAGGAAAAGATATATGAAGAATCCCCAAAAATATCCATCAGATCTAAATCCAATTAAACAACAAACCCATATACAAATTTCATACTTTTCCTTCATTTTCCCAGCATCCAGACAAACCAAAACAACGTAGGACAACAACAAATTACTCCCTAGATCTAAATCCAATTAAACAACAAACCCATATACAAATTTCATACTTTTCCTTCATTTTCCCAGCATCCAGACAAACCAAAACAACATAGGACAACAACAAATTACTCCCAGAATTCACCCAATTTATATTATCTTACTTTTCCCAATACCTAAAGAGACCCAAATAAGTAAAATTTGGACAAAAAATCACCAATAACACAGAAGGAAAAAAAAACCCAAACACAAGCATCTCATATAAAATTACACCTGAGCTTAGCTTGAGTCTGGCAGATACCTCAGTCATGGTGGCGAAGTTGAGGTTCTGAAGCCGATGCGAGACAACCCAAAGCAAAGACAGAAATTATAAACTTGGTTTTTGTATAAGAACCCTTGAGTAAAGTCGCAGTGGAGCAGACGACAGACAAATGAAGAGAAAGAGCTATATGACGACGAAGTTGGGTTGTTGATTTCGACGGAGGAGTCTCTCTTTGAGGTCTTCTTAGGGGTTCGCGTGGTCCTCAGAGTCACCGTCCGACGCATGACGACCGCCAGCTCTGTGACGACGACCGTAGAATTTAAGCGGCCACTCTAGGCCAAGGGCGAGAGTTGAGGGAGGGAGCGAGATGAGGAAGATTTAGAGAGACAAGTGTTTCAGAGAATGTTTAAGAGAGTTTAGAGAGAACGAAAGTTGAGGGAGGGAGTGTTTTCGATCTTGGGGGGGAAATCTGAAATTTTTTAGGTCGAGGCTACTAAACTCACTCAGTTCAGCGTGTTTTGAAAAGACGACGTTTGCTCACTCTCAAGCAGCCTAGCGTGTTTTAAAAGACGACATTTGTAATTCACAACCATCCTGTTTTAAAAATTGAGACAGCCCAACTTGATTTTAGTGGTGTATAAGGTGACATATCACTGACGGTTTTGTAAATCCCGCCTTCTTTTAAAATACGACAACAGTTTTAAGTTATATCGCCGTCTATTTTGTGTCGTGGTTGTATGAATTTATAGTATATAGTACACTTACCAAACACGAGAATGCAATTTGAAACCCATTTCAAGCTCCTAAACCTTTAAACCGAACGGACCCTAAGTAAAAGGACTTGTTTAGCATAAAGAAAATAGAATGCGACTGTAAAAACAAAGCATCAAAGTACCCTTTTCTACCATTGCTACCATAAATAGAACTTTTCCGTCAGCATGCCAATTGTGCTTCCTATTCGAGACACACATCAGAAGACTCATTTCATCTGAAATAGCTTTACATAAGAGTTAAACTAATACACGTCTAAAGTAAGACAATTAACTTGTTTAAATGGAAGATCATAGATTAATGAACCACAGGGCAAAACAGTGTAACAGAAAATTGAAAGAAATCAAATCTAATAGAGAAAAAGTAGAAGAAGGAGAACGTGCAGGAAAAGAAATTCATATTCTCCATCTAAGTCTCTGTTTCCTTTGTCCTATTTCCACATTCTCACTCAGTCTTGGGTCTTTTGGCTTTGTGGAGTTTGCAATTCATATTCTGACACACATACCATTTGGGAATGGGAAAAGTAATCAAACACAAATCAAAAGGAAAAATAAATAAATTATATTGTGTAGAAATATACCTAAAGACTAAAGTCCTGCACTCCAAAAACAATTTGATTTCAATTCTCTATTCTACTTGTTGTCATAGATAGAGATTTCCAAACGTTAAGAGTTAATGCAGTAAGAAAATTGACCTCTTCAAATTCCAATCCTTCTTTGTTAATCTGCAAATAAAGAAAGAAATATGTTTAAGAAATTAGGAAAATAAATGTTTTTTTTTATTCTCCTTATCAAACGCAACCCAACTCTTTGTATCATTTTTACCAAGGTGGGAGTGCACACTCTTCCTACTACTAAATCCCACAAAACGAATTGAATTAAATCAAGATACAACACAAAATGAATATGAATTACAATTTTTTTTTTTTAACTGAAGAAAAGGAATCAACCTGAAATCCAAGCGCCCGTCGCCACAGATGGGAAGAGAAGAACTCTAGAGTTTCTGTTATGTGAAATTGAATTGGCTTAAAACTCACCTAATTTTCAGAACGTGGGCATTATCTCTCATACGTGGTTTGCAGTTGTTGAACTCAGTAAAGAAATAACCTGAGAACCAAACAACAAACTCAGTAAAGAAATAACGTAATAACAAATACATAAACACTTTAAAAAATCTTGATGAAAGAATAACAAAACCCACCATTTCATAAAATGAACAACCAAAGAAACAAATATGAGACTTTTTGCAACATCTCTCTATTTTCTCCAGTAAAGAAATAACCGGAGAATCAAACAACAAACTCAGTAATAAAAAACTCCACCATGTCATTTGAATTCGTAGAACAAAACCAAATACATTTTATCAAACACCTACTCTATTCTTGGAGTTGCAGAAACTGTTTTTCTTATAACCAATGGAAAACAAAGAAATAATAATAGAGAATCCAAATATAAGTTGAATAACCAAACTTTCATTCATATCGTATATTTCATACTTGTGATGTGATGGTAATTGAACCACCAACCCACTCGACATTTGATTCTGAGCAAATTTTTTTTTTTGGTCTGAACCACGAGGTGGTTCTGGATGGGCCCAAACTATGGGTGGCACCTTTAAGCCTTAACCACAACCCAGACTAATCCCCGCTCACACCGGGTCGGCCCGTAAGAGGTAAAGTGCTGGCCAAAGTGGTGACTCCGTACAAGAGCAGGGATCGGATTTTTTTTATTTTATATTTTATGCGTGTTGTTCTCCCCTTTTTTTTTTGCTTCTTTTTTTATTTTGTTGATTGTTTACAACAATACCCTTCGGAAATGTTAAATAAATTTCATGCATCTTGAGATTTTTTTTGTTTTAGGGGTGTTTCTGTCCAATTTGTTTTATGAAGCCTGTGAATTCAACTGCTTTTCTCCTAGCTTTATAATAGTAGAGATAGATTCTGGGAAATTTGCATAAATACCACATGAACTTTTAATTTTCATTATTAACCACCTAAATTTTATAAAGTGTAGCAATTTACCACATACGTGTAACTTCGTTAAATTTTTCATTAAGTCAAATCACTATAATTAAAAAAATCACTATAATTAAAAATTTTAACAAATTTGAAACTAATTTTTAAAAATTACAAAAATCAAGCATATTATCTCTCGCCTCTCCCTACATCTTTCTCCTTCACTACCAATTTGCAATTCAATCAAGGTGAAGTCTTACAAAAAGTGAAAGCTATGCTCATAGTGCTAGACATTAAAACCTAGCAATCATGTCGTTTTCCTTTTTTTCTTTATGCTAGTAAAATCCAACTTGTCAATTAACGTTCATAAAGAAATCAATTAAATATTGCTGAATTTGTTATTGATTTGCAAAGTATGGCCTCTTGTTTGTGCAGTTGAGAGAGAGAGAGAGAGAGAGGGGGAGTTTTAGGGTGGGGGAAGAGGGGGCTGTCGGGGAGTGATGGAGAAGGGGTGGGGGATAATTAATTAGGTTGAATTCTGTTTTTTGTTCTTTCTTATGTTACTTTTAAAAATGTAAGTTTTTAATTCTAATAAGGCATTTTATGATATTTTGATTGTTTCATCATTCTCTGTTTTTTGCTTTATATATAGATAAATTGATGAAAATGTCCTTTAAAAAATATCACACATTCAACATGTGACTTTATTTAATGGAAATTTTAACGAAGTTAAAATAGAAGGTAAATTGCTATAGTTTGCAAAATTCATGTGGTTAATAGGAAAAATTGAAAGTTCATGTGGTAATCGTACACATGGTTAAAAGTTCAGGTGCATTTATGCAAATTTCCCATAGATTTTTAATTATAAATTACGCTGGTGGCATAAATGAGTCGAAACGACGCCGAAGTGGTTTCTGTGTATCTACTCAACAGGGGCTCTCTGTATCAAGCAGTCACTAATTATCACTTTAATCTTATGAGTAACTGCTGCGACACTCATCCACTTCTTCTCTGCTCCAAAGCGCGCAGCAGCGAGGCAACACCATGAGCAATTTCATGGCATTAGAGCTCTCAAACTCCATAACCAAGCCCTCCATCTTCTTCGACGCCACAACTTTCTTCCCACTCAACGAAAATCTGCACCCAACAACCCTTCTAATACCACCCATATCCTTTGCCTCTCTTAAGTCCAAGCACAGAAGAAAGACAAGGGCAGCCCAGTCAAGCCCCACTACCAGTAACTACTTTATCACCTTCGTTCATTTTTTTCAGTATTGCCTAGCCTATCTTTCTTTTCTGAGCTTACTTTGGTTGTTGAAGAAGAAAGAAAGAAAGAAAGAAATGAGAGAGTAAGAATCTCTATTTACATTTGCCACTAAATTTAGCTGGTTGTGGTGGGTTTTTAAAGTCTTTTAAAACCCAGAAAAAAAAGCCCAAGATCAGCATTTTAATTTGTTGGTTTACCCTTTTCATTTTCCCCCGTAGGCAATTGAACAATTGTAATGGTGAGAATATGTTGTTTGTTTTTTTGGGTTTGTTTAGAATTTAAAAATGGGAATTTATTTTCAGGTCCTCAAGCAAGTAACATAGCCACTGCCCAAATGGGAGAGCAAGTAGAGGTTGAAGTTGCTGAGGGTTACACCATGACTCAATTTTGTGATAAGATAATTGATATTTTCATGAATGAGAAGCCCAGGGCAAAGGAATGGAGGAAGCTTTTGGTATTTAGGGAGGATTGGGAGAAATATAGGGAAAGCTTTTATAACCGGTGTAGGACACGGGCAGATATGGAGGGTGATCCAACTATGAAAGAAAAGTTCACCTCTTTGGGGAGAAAGGTGAAGAAGGTATGTAAATGTCTCTATCGTGTTCTTTTGGTTATATTGATATTTCTTTGTTTCTGTTATAAGTAAGGAATTAAAAGAAGAACGAAATTTTTGAAGCTATGCCTTTTGTTACCTTGGAGACCCCAAATTAGATAAGTATTGTTCTTGATTTAGCGGTGGTTTTAGTTTTCCAGGTCCCAAGTAATGGAAGTTAATGAGATTATACACTTAATTCTCGTTTTTTTTCCTACTATTTACCAAACATCTGAAAGAAAGGGTGAAGATTCTTGTGAACACATGCTTGTTTGTGTTTAGAGGTCCTTTCGGTTATGTTTGATCAGGAGTGAGCATTGCAGATTGATGATGAAATGGAAAGGCACAGTGAACTTCTGAAGGAGATACAAGACAATCCAACTGACGTTAATGCAATAGTTGCACGGAGACGTAAAGACTTCACAGAGGAATTCTTTCGCCACCTTAATCTACTTTCGGAAGTTTATGATAGTTTGGAAGATCGTGATGGTAATTGAACATGCTCAATCATCTCAAAGTTTGTATTTGGATTATTTTCGTGAAACAATTGCTGATGACCTGATTTTGACCTACATGAACTTGTGAGAGTCTCTGGTTTTCAATATACTTTTCAAATACACTAAGAAGTTTCACAAATTGTTGCCAAACTCTGACCTGTGTGTCTATGGGTGGGAAAATATGATGTGCAATTTACATCTTGGACTTTAATTACTTACAATGACAGATTCCATTTTCCATCTAGAGATCAATTTTGTAGCTTGTTCACCTATCTTATATGATTGTCTCAACTTTTGAGCAGCAATGGCCCGGCTGGGTGCTAGATGCTTGTCTGCTGTCAGTGCTTATGATAACACGCTGGAATATGTGGAGACATTAGATACTGCTCAGGCCAAATTTGATGACATCCTAAATTCTCCTTCAGTTGATGTAGCATGTGAGAAGATCAAAAGCCTTGCCAAGGCAAAGGAGCTTGATTCTTCGTTAGTATTATTGATAAACAGTGCTTGGGCTTCTGCAAAGGAGTCCACAACGATGAAGAATGAGGTATGGTCAGCAACCTTGTATTGATGAGCTTATGTTGGATTACGGGATATTTTTCATAACCCATCAATGTGTCACAGATGCACATGGGAAGGATAAATTAGCAGTTATTCTTAGAATGGTTTGACTATGCTTAAAGAAAAAACCAAGCAATGGATTTATTCAATTATTTCTGAGGTACGAATGTGTATAAGTCATTATAGAAGCTACAGTAAGATACTCTTGAATGTTTTCTCTGAGAACTATCAAGTATTATTAGAATTTAGAATGACTTGAGATGCTACCTTTTTCATAGAAGCACTTGAAGAAATGAAAATAATAGCGTTAAAGACATGTATACGTGCTTGCATTTGTCCTGTCAGAACTCCTACAAAATAATTTTATTCTATTGGTTTCTTTAACCCAAGCTTCGGCCATTCTATAGTCTTTACTGCAATATTATGTTTGCCTTTATGTGCTCAAATGCTTGCTCTTCCTTGTATTCTTAAGATTGGATGTCTTAATGCAGGTCAAAGACATAATGTATCATTTGTACAAAGCCACAAAAAGCAGTCTTCGGAGCATTGCGCCAAAAGAAATAAAACTACTCAAGCATTTGCTGAACATTACAGATCCTGAAGAGAGATTCTCGGCATTGGCAACAGCTTTCTCCCCTGGTGATGGACCTGAAGCCAAGGACCCCAAAGCCGTATACACGTAAGAGAGCCCCTTTCTTCTTCATATATTTTTTTTTTGGGCAATAGCAATATCTGTTACATTTTTGCAATGTAACATGTCCTGTATTTTCCTCTTTGTGGTTGAGCAGTACGCCCAAAGAGCTTCACAAGTGGATTAAGATCATGCTTGATGCATACCATCTAAATGCGGAAGAAACTGACATTAGGGAAGCCAAGCAGATGACTCAGCCTGTGGTTATACAAAGGCTGTTCATCCTCAAGGAAACTATTGAAGAGGAATATTTGGAACGAAGCACAGATCAAAAGTCTCAAACAGAGGATACCAAACCAGAGGAATTATGAAGTACTTTAGTGACAGCTTTATTTCGGGATGCCATCTTCATGTGGGAGAAGAATCTTAGTTTTACAAAGAAGCTGAGTAGTGAACTATGGCATCATGCCATCCTTCATCTTCTTAGTTTGGCTCTGTTTTGACACTTCAGAGGATGTAATAGAAATTTGAGTGCCATTTCTTTCTTTCTTTAAAAGAAACCAAACCAAGACGATAAATAAACAAAATGTCTCAATACAAAATACAAGGTAAAATCTAGTTCTAAATCTAACCTATCCCACTAGCTACTTGCTGGTGGAACAAACCAACAATCAAGCCAACCTTGTGTTCAGTAATAATACGCTTTGCATACCGTGGAATGATCCCCCGCCATTGTCACCACCTCGGTCTCATTTTCACTATCATGATTAATAAACCGGAGACGGTCGCAGAAGAGCCGCAACGTGTTACCTTGGTTACCCGGCTTAAACGTATACGAACCCAACACCTTCAGCCCCAATCTCACCGTCCCTCCCAAGATTTCCTTTTCCACGTCTTCTTTGTCTTGTACAAGGTAAGAGGGGGAGGCAATGGCTTGGTTATGAGCACAACCTCGTGCTTGTAAAAGAGCGACACGCCTGGAGGCTGTCCAAGCAGAAGACGAACCTGTTACAAGGACATACCAAGGCCGCTCATGTTTAATGAATTTTTTTAAGAAATAAAATAAATAATAATCTAACCAAAATTTTGATTCTCCTTTTTTTTCATTAATGAATTTCGACAATATGAGGGAAATTTATTGATCGATAAAATCAAAACGGGGGACTAACAGATAAACCCCAATTACAAACATCAAATAATAGAGAATTCTAAATTAAATCAAGTGGCTCCTCAAACCATTCAATTCTAGCATCGTTATTCAAAGCAACTCGAGCAAGGCGGTGTGCCACTTCATTTGTATTGAAGATATTTTGGAAGTTTCTGTATAGGTTAGGTTGTAGTCACCACTCTACCTAATTGGTGAGTTGTGATTACCACATTTTCCTTAATTTAAGGTTTCCTTGTAATTAGTGTTCGGCCTTTATAACTTAATTTGTGGATAACGTTTGCAGTGAGGGTAAGGCATGTTGTATGATGGTTTCTTGCCCTCACTCAATCTCTCTATATATTTGTGTACTATGTAAATCTCCTCATGATGGAATCTACAAACATTCATTGAAAATTAACAATTTGCTTGACACTGGACAAACGAAGACAAAGCGGAACTCAGTATTATTTTGCATCATGTCCTTTATATCTTCAATGATGTAGCCCATAAAAGACATGTCATCCCCTTGCATGTAATTGCTAATACAATTGGCAAGCATTCCCCTTCAAAATTTCGATTCTTTAGAACAAGGAAGCACAACCAGAGTGGGCTCTCATCTCTCGCTTATTATATGGCATTCCATCCTTGGAAACTTTTGCTTGATGCAGTCCAGTCCAGCCTTCATTGACTCCCAAGCAATTTGGGCCCTTTCATTTTTATTTTATGCCTTCAAAACTTGTGAGCCCTACAAGCACCTCTAATTTGTGTGGTACACGGAAAAATAGGACAAAGACATAGAGCAAGGTTAGCATGCGCACGGAAGTTGCATACGCATGGCGTGATGGGCACATTTTGCATGCGTTCTCTATTTGTCTGTTTCTGAATTGGAAATTGAGCTTAATTCTAGCAGTTATATAACTCCCATGTCTTTTTAGGTCATTCACTTTGCCTTTTTTATCACCTTCTAACAGAAGCAAGAAGAAAGCTGGCCCGCTGTTGTTGGGAAGTGAAATTACATAATTGTACATAGGGACCAAATTAGTATATATATTATTATTTTGATATTTAGGAATTATTTATCTTGTCGGTTTCTGATATATACACACAACGTACGTTAGCCCAACCAGAATTTAGATTAAGGACTTGTGGTTGAAGATTGGCTACCTATAAATTAATCATTAGCTAAGAGATATATATAAGATGTTGAGATGTTGAGATGTTGAGATGTATGCTCACTTATTGTTATCCCTAAACATTTCTTTAATTACTAATCAATTTTTACAAACACTCTACAAAATGTTTCTTGCTTAATTTTATAATTTTTAGTTAACAGAGTCTAGCTCAGTGAAAAAATGTATTGACTTGTGTGGGGGTCTTTTTCTGCTGGAAGGCTTAGCTGGGCCGGATGGTCGCTAGTCTTGAGTGAAGCCTTCAAGTCCCCGTTTCTGAGTTAGCGAGAACTAGGCCCAAAGCATCCCGAAGGGAAGGCAAGCCCTAGGGGGTACTCTGTTATTCTTACAGCAGCTCCATATTTGACTGGCTTTTGATGCTAATACGTGGAATAGATGGACGGCAGCTCTAAACGGTGTACACTGCTGCTGGATGATGTACGGCTTCTCTGGAAAGAGTTGAGGATGATGCGCTAGTGTTGCACAGAGATAGGTTTGGCATGGGAGTTTCCTCTGATGAGTTAAGATAATGAGCTTGGCATGAGAGGCTTGTGGTGTGGGAGCTAAGAATCCATAAGTTTAGCAGGAGAGAGTATTTTGCTTGAGGAACGAATGATTATGGCAGTGTATTGTGGAATGATTGGATGGTGTTCAATGCTTAAGGTGATATTATGGAAGAAAATGAGAATGGGGAGGTTAATGCCTGGGTTTTGTGTGTTTATCTAGAGCACGACAGTGCATGGTCTGCTGGGTTGTTTACTGTGGCTAGAGCACGGCAGCAAAAGAAAGGTTACGGCAGCAAAATGAAGGTTACGGCAGCAAAATGAAGGTTACGGCAGCAAAATGAAGGTTACGGCAGCAAAATGAAGGTTACGGCAGCAAAATGAAGGTTACGGCAGCAAAATGAAGGTTACGGCAGCAAAATGAAGGTTACGGCAGCAAAATGAAGGTTACGGCAGCAAAATGAAGGTTACGGCAGCAAAATGAAGGTTACGGCAGCAAAATGAAGGTTACGGCAGCAAAATGAAGGTTACGGCAGCAAAATGAAGGTTACGGCAGCAAAATGAAGGTTACGGCAGCAAAATGAAGGTTACGGCAGCAAAATGAAGGTTACGGCAGCAAAATGAAGGTTACGGCAGCAAAATGAAGGTTACGGCAGCAAAATGAAGGTTACGGCAGCAAAATGAAGGTTACGGCAGCAAAATGAAGGTTACGGCAGCAAAATGAAGGTTACGGCAGCAAAATGAAGGTTACGGCAGCAAAATGAAGGTTACGGCAGCAAAATGAAGGTTACGGCAGCAAAATGAAGGTTACGGCAGCAAAATGAAGGTTACGGCAGCAAAATGAAGGTTACGGCAGCAAAATGAAGGTTACGGCAGCAAAATGAAGGTTACGGCAGCAAAATGAAGGTTACGGCAGCAAAATGAAGGTTACGGCAGCAAAATGAAGGTTACGGCAGCAAAATGAAGGTTACGGCAGCAAAATGAAGGTTACGGCAGCAAAATGAAGGTTACGGCAGCAAAATGAAGGTTACGGCAGCAAAATGAAGGTTACGGCAGCAAA